AATGTCATGAGACAAAGTGTATGTGAACTGCTGTACGGAAAGTGAATTTGCTCTGTAAATTTTCACCCAAATCACAATTAAAAAAAAGAAAAGAACAGTGGTTCTTTTCAATACACAACATTGCATTAACAGTAATCCAACACATAGCGACCTCTCCTTGGGTTTCTGAGGCGGTATCTCTACAGAAGTAGATTGTCCAGTCTTTCTTCCATTATCAGTAACAAAAAACACTAATCTATGAATGATCAGGTATATCTAGGCATACATAAGTTTGGCAGACAATCTCTCTACATATGTATTTGTATGTGCTATAAGAATGTCCATATAAATAGAACTAATAGGGGGCAAAGTTTTAACTCGTTGTTGTTGTTGTTATGTGCCATCGAGTTGGACCCGACTCATAGCGACCCCTTCTTGGGTTTCCAAGGCAGTATCACTACAGAAGTAGATTGCCCCATCTTCCTTCTGAGGAGTGGCCATAGCCAAATACCCTGAGGAAGAGAGAGTTGTTGTGCCTGTGGGTTCTGGACCATAGTCTGGGGGACACCAAGCTCAACTGACATAAAACACGAAAACACTGTTCTACATCCTACTTTGGTGAGTAGCAACTGGGGTCTTAAAAGCATGCAAGCAGCCATCTAGAAGCAACATTGGGTCTCTCTTCCTCCAGAGCAAAGAATGAAGAAAACCAACGACACATGGAAACAATTAGCCCAAGGGACTAGTGAACCATGGGAACCTCAGCCTACCTGACCCTGAGACCAAAGAACTAGATGGTGCCCAGCTACCACTGTCAAGCACTCAGAAAAGGGATCAGTGCCGGAGATCCTAGATAGAGTAGGATCAAAGTGTGGAACAAAAGTCAGAATCATAAAAATATGAAACCCTCAAGACTATGGTCCCTCATAACCCTTCAGGCCTGGAATTGAACTTGGCTTCTAGCCAAACAGACAGGCATATAATGTGAATATTTATACCAGGTAGGTAAACTGCTTAGAACAATCAATCATAAGAGAACAGAAGGGTGATATTTGCACAGGGAGATAGCTCAGATGGCAGGAATGCATAGGAAAGGAGGTCACAGGGAAAGGTAACCACAGAGAGGAAGCAGGAAGACAGTTGTTACATTATGGGGATTGCAATGAATGTCATGAAACAAAATATGTAAAAACTACTGTATAGAAGATGAATGTACTCTGTATTTGTGCATGCTAAACTTTCACCCAATTCACAATTTAGGAAAAAAAAAAAAAAAAGAGAAAAAAAAATGTACTGGGGATTTTTCCCATCCTTGTAACAAAAACTTAAATACAGTAACATGTAAAAATCAGGATAAATAAATAAATAAATGAGTGGTTGCCAGGAGTAAGGGGGATGATAAACAGCCAGAACACAGGGCATTTTCAGGGCAGTGAAACTATTCTGTATGATGCTGTAATAGTGGACATATGACATCATGCGTTTGTCCAAACTCATATATTGTATAAAGCAATGAGTGAACCTTAACGTAAATAGACTTTTATTATTATTAATGTAAAAATATTAGCTTAAACTAAGTATAAGTTTATCAATTATAACAAATGTACCACACAAATGCAAGTTAATAAAAGGAGAAACAATGTATAGATAAGGAAGGAGATATACAGAAGCTCTGTGCAGAGAAAGCCTATAAGCCTAAAACTGCTCTGAAAAACAGAGTCTATAAAAAATAATAATATTTCATCACTGTGCTCTATTCCCTGTGAGAGTGTTCTGTGCTGTGCCATCCTGCTGTAAAAACATAAAGATATTCTCACAGTCAAAAGTTTTACTACCAAGACTCTTTTTACATATTAACTGCATGGCCATTAAGGTTTGTGAAACTTGTCTCAGACACATGACTAGTTAAGCAAGAGAATTCCTATATATAATTCTTAATATTAATAATCATTTTGGACATAACAGAATTTATAATGAACTTCCTGTTTCCCACTTAGAACTAAGTCTTTGGTCTTTTACACTATACAAATCTCACTGGATTTGCTACTGTTTTGAAACAACAACATTTATGTCAAATTTCTAACCATGGCAGAGAAGAAACAAGTGCATCTGTCAGTTTCAAAATAAAAAAAAAAAGTGGTTTGCTCTTCTCAAAATCTTCTTTCAATGCATTTGGGATATTGTTCATAACAGCTTCTAATATCTGCCAAGCTTAGCAACAGAATACTTATTTGAAAAGGAAAAGCAAAATTCTGACCAGATAATTGACCAACTTCCTACTCCTTACCATTTTTTGAAACAGAAACCAGAAAGGCTCAACTCATACCACCAAGCCAGTAACACAAACAAGCTACAAATGAAAGGTCTTACAGCTTGTTGCCATGCTTATAAAGCACAGGCCTAAAACCATTGATCTTTTAATTATCAATATGCATTTAAGGTTCCTCCAGATCTTTTTGTAGGTTGATAGTGCATTCAAGCTCATTGTTAAGAAAGTCAAAATGGGTAGTCACTGATTATTGATGAAGCAAATAATTTAAGTTTCTCAATTAGATATTTTAAAAAGAAACAACCAACCTCCCAGGCTGTTCCTTCAAATGTTTAATATGGAGAAAATAACAGGGTTTTTTTTAAAAAAAACATTTATATTATTACTTGCCTAGTAAATAAGTAAACAGCAAATGAACTTTTACTTTCTCAATACTACATACACACCCATGCACGCACACATACTCAGGACCATATATATATGTTAATATATGTTCTTATATCAATGCCTGGAATAGACCATTACAATAAAAGTTAAGGTTCATGCATGCAGCCCGTCAAAGGTTAAAAGAAATTAGCCTGGGAGAGTAGTTCAGTTTAGCGTACTATTTCTGTAACAGGCAGAGAGTAAATATTCAACAATTCAACAACTACTTTCCTGAAAAGCTAATAGGTGTTTTGACTTTTGTTTTACAGTTAAAAATGTAAAAATAATTCTTCGTTTGTGGGACCATACAAAAACATGTGGCCTCTGAAACCCTGGATAAAATGATAATGATAACACAAATCAGTGTTTTTTTAAAGGCCGCATAGGAGATGTTTCTGGGTTGACTTAAGTTTACTGGATAAACGTGCTGTCCGTAAACTTCTCAAATACGAAGAGGAAGGGCCATTGCGGTGGGGAATCAGGCCAGGGCGGGGAGTGGGACCTCCCGAGGCAACGAGAAAATCTGGCAGCTCTCCCAGTCGGGCCGAGATCCCTCCTACACTTACTCCCAGCAGCGGCCCGCGACCAATCACCGTCTCCCCGGGCGCCAGGGCCACCGGAGGGCCGCCGTCTAGGGGCTGCAGCTCGAAGCCCCCGGACATGGCGGGCGGGGATCAGGCCTCTCCGCAGAAACTGTCCCGGCAGCCGTTTCCGCCTCCCATGGACACGCGTGTGGAAAAACAACGCGGGGGTAGAGAGAGCAAAAACTTTGCTCGAGCGTGCCCAGTCTTCACCAGGCTGGGATCCGAGCTCCGCCTCCGTAGTCCCACCTCTCCGCCAGGTCCAGTGACTCACTCGCGGGTTCCTTCATCACGTCCTCTTAAAATTATTGTTTGAAAGCCCGGGTTTATCCTCCCCCTACGCCTCACCACCCAACCAGTGCGGAGGACGTCGGACCTGGTAGTACCTGGTATCTTCCTTCCCCACACTTCCCGTAATACTCCCCTTGAATAAACTACCAATCCCAAAAGGCTGTGCGCGCCCTCCTCTGCGCCTGTACGAAATCCGAGCCAGAAGGCGGGGCCTGGGGTGGGCGGGACGCGAGGGACTATGGAGAAGGATTCGAATTCTGAAGGTTTTGAATCGCAGGAAGAAAGACCACCACTGTCCAGTAGGTACGAAGAGCCTCCTTTCCCGATGATGCCAGCGCCGGCTTGTTACGAGGCCCGATCCGTGCGCAAACGCAGCCTTCGCTCAGCGGCCGGGAGCGGTGGTGATAGTCGGAGTTGATGGTTGTTGTTGTTGATCACTTGTCAGCCCTTTAATGTCGGGTGATCTTGGGACGCAGGCAGCTGCAGCTTGAGCGGGACAGGCAAGGGGTAGGTGGTTCATATGGGATGTGGTGCCATCCCCCTGCCACGATGAGGGTGGGAGCTTCCCCAGTAGTTTGTACTAGGCGGCGCCCGGCCCTCTGACTAACGCCCAGGTGTAACACTTTAAAGAGGGATGAACTCTTGGCTAACTGGAAAAGTAATTCAGCACAATTAGGTTCAAAAAGGAGAAAGGGCAGAGGAGGGATAGTTTTAGAAAGGTACTTTTGGACTTAGAAGAAAGATACCCAGTTGTTGTTATGTGCCGTCGAGTCGATCCCGACTCATAGCGACCCCTCCTTGGGTTTCCGAGGCAGTATCACTACGGAAGTAGGATTGCCCAACCTTCCTTCCGAGGAGTGGCTGGTGGGTTTGAACCGCCAGCCTTCTGGTTAGCAGTCAAGTGCTTTAGCCACTATGCTACCAGAGCTCCTAGATACCCAGTAGGATTTTGGAATTCAAAGCCATCTTCAGTCTGCCTGTGGAATTCCTGTCACGGGTTGTTGTTATGTGCCATGAAGTGATTTTGAACTCATAGTGACCCCATGTGACAGAGTAGGAATACCTCATAGGGTTTCCTAAGGCTGTAATCTTTACAGGAGCAGCCAGATTTTTCTCACACCGAGCGGCTGGGTGGGTTAAAACGGCCAACCTTTCGCCACCAGAGCTCCTTCCAATAACCGGCGGAAGCATTTTATCCCCCAGTTAGATCCCAGGAGAAGTAGCAAGCATTTAAGTGTACAGTAACGTTCTCCAGTTTTGACAGTCTTTCCAAGAATATGGTTGGCTTTTGTTTGTGGTGATGGTGGGAGGGGGAATCTGGTATATTACCAAAGAGAGCACTTGATATTGCCTCAGGCTCTTCAGTTTACCAGTTAGACCTTATGCAAAGCAAACCCTCAAGAGGAAGTTCTCTGTTGCACCAAAAAAAACCAAAAGAACTGACTGCCATGGAGTCGTTTCTGACTCATAGCGAGCCCCATTGGGTTTCTGAGGCTGTAAATCTTTACAGAAGTAGACCGCCCCATCTTCCCTGGAGCAGCTTGTGGGTTTGAACCCCTGACTTTCTGATTAACAGTCAAGTACTTTATCCACTGCCCCACCAGAGCTCCTCTCTCTGTTAACAGACACATTAAAATTCTAACTACCATAGATACTTGGAGCTCTGGTAGCATAGTGCCTAAGGCACTTGACTGTTAATCAGAAGGCTGATGATGGAAGGAAGGTTGGGCAATCTACTTCCATAGTGTTACTGCCTCTGGAAACTCAAGGAGAGGTCGCTTTGAGGCGGATCTGACTCGAGGGCACATAACAACAACAACAGAGTTACTTTGGGTTATAACTGGTCTTGAAAAGTCCAAAAACGTGAGCAGCACTTCTAGGAAGGGAAATTGTCACGAGCAGAGTTGAATAAGCAAGCCCCTCCTCGTGCACTGTCGTGTACTGTCCCTAGCCAAAAAGTACAGAATGCAATAAACTTATTTTAGTAAATAGGAACTGTCTTTATGTGCAAAAATAGCTCAGGGTGGTGGTATAATCTTTCAACTGATTTCCAAAACACACCATGTACCATTACGTGTCGTATTAGTCACATGCTATATACCTAGCTGAATTGTAAACATTGTTTATAGTTTTTAGTCACTGTTGCTTGATGGCCTCAATGACTGTTTTATTCAAAATACCTATGCATTTAGGATAGCTTCAAGGGACCATTTCTAAAACATTAACCTTTAAATGAATTGGGTACTTGAGACTTTCTTCCAACTACTTGTTAATTTCAAATTGTGTTAGTGTCAAAAGTGAACACCCACCCTTTAGGTACAAAGCAGATAAACAATTCTTATGATACACTACTAAAAGTCCATCAGGTTTGTGATTAAGTTACAAGTTATAAAATTAAAAATTTAATGACGAGGCACCACAGACAACAATTATTCAGGCATCTAATAAGATTGAATCATATACATTGTCAAGGTATTTTAAATTAATGCTCAAAATCAAATGTGTTCTCAAACTAGTCATTGCTGCTACTAAACAAATATGGTCTGACATGAAGAATCATTTCTCTTTTTTAGATAATATTGTCTGGGAGTGGAAAAAATGTTTTTCTTAGAGACAAAGATAATTTACTAAAAACATTTAAAAAGAAAAAGGGAAAATATGTGAATGCGTCCCATGTGCAATTCACATGTGTTGTTGTTGTTGTTGTTGTTGTTGTTGTTGTTATGTGCCGTCAATTCACATGTGGTAAGATGTTTACCATGTTATCCAGGTTAATCCGTGCAAAGACAGGAGGTTACACAGTAGAGGAGCATCCTTGGCCCCATTTTATAAATTGGGAAGCTGAAGCTGAAAAAGTTAAAATTCTTTTAATCATATGGCTAAGAGCAATTGGAACTCAAAAGTATCTCATTAAAAGAATCTATAGTCTGAACTGAAGGACTGAGTATGTTTAAATTTTGCCTTTTAGGTTACATATGAGGAGAATTTACTAAAACATCAAACTATGCAGAAAAACTCCAAGAGGAGCAATAATTCAAGAGTTTCTGACATAGACTTGAACTCTGTGGATATTGAGGAGAAGAAAAAAGAGAGTCAAAACAACTATTTTGAACTATTGCCTCCAGAAGTCACTTTAAACATTTTCCGTCAGCTAAACATCCAGAGCCTGTGCAGGGCTTCAATGGCATGCAGGAGCTGGAATGACATGATAAGAAACAGTGATTCCTTATGGAAACCACACTGTTTGACTGTAAGAGCTGTATGTCAAAGAGAAATAGATGGGGATCTAGAAGATGGTTATTCCTGGAGGGTAAGGTTAATCTTTGCAGTCTATAGTATTTATGGCAGTGCTAGTGGTGATGGGCTTGAGACATTTCTGTCTTCTGTTGGAGGAAGTAGGATTTCGTATGCAGAGTGTTTTTGACTTTTGAAAATGATTTGAAGTTGATTTATTACTCTTTTTCTGCCAACCACACTATCTTCCATCTACCCTTCTCAGTCATTTTTTTAAAAAACCTAAACCAGGAATTTTTCTCTATTAACCAGAAGGAAAGTGTATTTTAATCCCACCCTCTCCAAAATCCCCAGCAAACCTTGTTGCTCATTCTGTGTATATACACATATACATATTTCTGCACACATACAGATTTATTAGCATACACCTATTCCTCATTTGGGAGCTCTGGTGGCATAGTGCCTAAGGCATTTAACTGCTAACCAGAAGCCCGGTGGTTCAAACCCCAGCCACTCCTCGGAAGGAAGATTGGGCAATCTAATTACATAGTGATACTGCCTCGAAAACACAAGGAGAGGTCACTATGAGTTGGACCTGACTCAACAGCAGTGAGGTTTTTTTTTTTTTAATCCTCATTTATTGACTATCTTATTATCCAACATTTCACATTTACAACCATAGCAAAAAATCTACTATCTGACTATTTTGCACATTAGCAATGTATGTATGTCTGGCAGTGATGGGTGTCAAAGTGTGAGGAGAGAGTAACACTGTGATAGTTAAATGTTATGTGTCAACTTGGCTTTGCCATGATTCCAGTGGTTTGGCAGTTATGTAATAATGTAATTTGGCCATTATGTAATGATATAATGATATAAACAAACAAATAAAAGAAGCCCACTGCCATCCAGTCGATTCCAACTCATTGCAACCTCCATTGGGATTCCAAAGTGGCAATCACATTATCCTCCATCTTGTGATCTGATTTGGTCATCCTTCATCTTCACATCACACTGATTTTCACACAAAGACCAGGTTTTGGAACCTAACCATGTCAATAAATGAGGACTGAGTGTATATGTATTTAAGTATACATACTTCATCTTCTTTTCAGCCCTATTAACCAGTTTGTCTTGTTTCAAGCAAACTCACTATCTACTATATTATTTTTTAATGATGATGGTTTACCTCTTTCAGGTAACACTACTGAGGAATTATCAGAAGAGTAAAGTGAAATATAAATGGCTAAGTGGCAGATATAGCAACATATGTTCTCCCATTAGCCTACCAGAGAAGATCATGTACCCAATGGATGCAGATACATGGGGGGAAATCCTAGAAGCAGAACTGGAACGGAAAAATTGTAAACATCTTGTAACCGTAAGAGTTTAAAACAAATATTTCAAAGAAAACTAAGTAGAAAATAGTATGAAAATTAAAGCTTTATTTTTATATTTGCACTTTATTAAAAACATTTTTTCTGGTTTTATAATGTAGAAAAATCATGAAATTATATTTTTTTAAGAAATATCTCTTTAAAAGTGATTTTAAATGTATACTTTAATGTATTTGTGTTAGTATATTGTAGTACTTTAAATGAATTTTATTACTGTTTTCTGGATAATTAAAAAATTTAGAAGCCATTTGAAACTGACCTGGAGATTCATTAAATAGTAGGCATAACTAGGTTTATGGGAAGACTAAACTCAAAACCAAAATCACTGCCATCAAGTCGGATCTGACTCATAGCTACCCCTCCTCAGGTTTCCAAGGCAGTATCACCACGGAAGTAGATTGCCCAGCCTTCTTTCTGAGGAGTGGCTGGTGGGTTTGAACATCAGCCTTCTGGTTAGCAGTCAAGTGCCTTAGGCACTATGCCACCAGAGCTCCCCTGGGGAGACTAGCTAAGTAAAATTAATAACAATATATTTAAATGAATAATAAATTTGCTTTTCAATAACTTAAAATTTTCATTTCTGTGGAATCTGATTGACTTCTCAAATAGTGATACTATTTTAATACATCTTAAGCCTGTGGTTTGTTTTAAGATTAATTTTATCATGGGACGTAAAGCTTTTCAGGATTAAGGTTCCCATTATTTGCCTACAAGCCTGCAATTGCTCTCAGAGGCTAGAAATAAATGGGAAGTTTCCAGAATATTTAACTACCTGCAGAACTTGTTGTTCTTGTTGTTACTGTTCAGTGCCATCAAGCCTGTTCGACTTAGCAGCACTTTGTGCAACAGAATAAAACACTATCAAGTCCTGCACCATCCTCATAATCTTTGCTATGTTTGAGCCTATTGTTGCAGCTAGGTGTCACTCCCTCTCATTGACGGTCTTCCTCTTTTTTGCTGACATTCTGCTTTACCAACCATGATACCCTCCTTTCTCTAGGGATTGGTCCCTCCTGATAACAAACCCAAAGTACGTGTGACTAAGTCTCACCATCCTTGCTTCTAAGGAACATTCTGACTGTACTTCTTCCAAGACCAACACCATAATTTGAATACATCAATTCTTCTGCAGTCTTCATTATTCATTGTCTAGCTTTTGTATACGTAAGAGGTGATTGAAAACACCATGGCTTGGGTCAGGTGCAGCTTAGTCCTCAAGGTAACATCTTTGCTTTTTAACCCTTTAAGGAAGCCTTTTGCTGCAGATTTGCACACTTCAATACATCATTTGATTTCTTAACTGCTGCTTCCCTGGGCATTGATTGTGGATCCAAGTAAAATAAAATCCTTGACAACTTCAGTCTTCTCTCTGTGTATCATGATATTGATACTTATTAGCCCAGTCGTGAGGATTTTTGTTTTCTTTACGTTGAGGTGTAATCCATACCAAAGGCTGTAGTCTTTGATCTTCATCAGTAAATGCATCAAGCCTTCTTCACCTTCAACAACCAAGGTTGTGTCATCTGCAGATACCAGGTTTTTAATGAGTCTTCCTCTAATCCTGATGCTGCATTTTTCAAATAGTCCAGTTTCTCAGATTATTTGCTCAGCATACAGATTGAATAAGTTTGGTAAAAGGATACAACCCCGACACACACATTGCCTGATTTTAAACCACACATTTTCTGTTCTGGTCCTCATGTTCTGTTTGAGTACTTATCTGTTGGCCTAAGTTTCCACATGAGCACTGATAGCTGTTCTGGAATTCCAATTCTTTGAAATGTTTTTTTATTATTTGTTATGATCCACACAGTTAAATGCCATGTGTAGTCAATAAAACACAAGTAAATATCTTTCTGTTTTTCTCTGCCGTCAACCAAGATCCATCTGGCGTAAGCAATGATATCCCTCATCATCCTCTTCTGAATCGGGCTTGGATTTTTGGCAGTTTCCCACTGATATAATGCTGCTACAATTGTTTTTGAATTATCTTTAGCAAAACTTTTCTTGCGTGTGATATTAATGATATTGTTAAATAATTGCTGCATTCTGTAAGATCGCCTTTCTTTGGAATGGGCACAAATGGAGAGCTCTTCCAGTTGGTTTGCCACGTAGTGTCTTCCAAATTTCTTGGCATAGACAAGTGAGCACTTCCAGCATAGAATCCATTTGTAGAAACATCTCAGTTGATAATCTGTTAATTCCTGAATATTATTTTCTCCAATGCCTTCAGTGTACTTGGATTTCTTCCTTCAATACAATTGTTTCTTGATTCTATGCTACCACCTGAAATGGTTGAACATCTTTCAATTCTTTTTGGTACAGTGACTCTCTGTGTTCCTTCCATCTTCCCTTGAAGTTTCCTGCATCATTTAATATTTTGCCTATAGAATCCTTCAATATTGCAACTCGAGGCTTGAATTTTTCTTTCAGTTCTTTCAGCTTGAGAAATGCTAATCATTTTTTTCTCTTTTTGTTTTCTGACTCAAGGTCTTTGCACATTTCATTATAATTATTTAATTTGTCTACTTGTGTGATCTTTTAAAATGTTCTGTTCAGCTCTTTTACTTCATCATTTCTTTATTTGCTTTAGCTACTCTCTGTTCAAGAATAAGTTTCAGTCTTTCCTTTCTTTTTTCATGACCTTTTGCTTTCTTCGTGTATAATGTCTTTGATGTTACCCCACAACTCGTCAGGTCTTTGATGATTAGCACAGAACTACCAATTTGTCTCGGTAAAATTTCTGACAACCTTATAGCACCATCTAATGTACTAATTGAAGATACCAGGACAAAGAACTTTCAGTTCCTTTTTGTTTGCAATGTATCTAAAAAAAAAAAAAAATGTTATTCCAGAGACCCTTTATTATCTGACTTTGTTAAAGTGTATAGCTTTCCAGAATTTTTAGAATATAGCCTTTGTTCTCTCTCTCTTTTTTGTTTAAGCAGATGATACAGCAGTCACTATACTAGATTGTTTATCTGAACCTATGGTTAGCACTATAGTAAAAAGTACCTGCAAAACATTTTAGTCAGTGTGGAGTTTTCTCCTTAAACTGTGCCCTGTGACATTAAAAATTAAGAATCTAGGGGACCAGTATTTAATGAATATTCAAATATCAGAAAGATAGCCCACTATATACAAATCCTTAATTAGATCAAGCGAATGATGACTAATTGTGTCCTACTATCTTCTCAGAGTTGGAAGGGTTCTTGGCAACCAAGCCATCCAATCTCCAGGGCCCCACAGTAATCCCTATGCAGGCACACTGATAGGGTCAGCCTGCCCTTGCTCAAATACTTCTACTAATAAGATTTCCATTGTATCACACAACAGCCATTTTCCCTAGGATTGCTCTGATCATTAGAAAGCCTTCCTCGCTTTAAACTGAAGATTGCCTTCCTGTAGCATTTGCCTCCTAGTCTTAGTGCCACCCTCTGTGCTTGCCATTGGAATGTTTGAAATATAAACATTTGAATATTTGTTGACTTGTCTTTTCTAAATCTTATCACCAGTTCCTTCTGCTATTCAGAGAACACAGCTTCTAGACCTAACAGCATTCTCTTCTGCTTCTGTCTCTCTTGATCAAAGTGTAATTGGAAAGTATCCACTACTTTTATTTAATATATTTCATAAGAGATGATAATGAAAAAAGCACTCTGAAATTCTCAAAGTATGGGAAAAAGTAAAGCTAAAAAGAATTTTATTGAAAATATCTTTGTACCATAGTTTATGTACATACATGTTTTTATCTGTTTTTGTAACGGATGTAGATTGTCTTTTTTGCTTAACTCCCTGTTCTGGTTACCTAGTGCCACTCTGACAGGAATATACCACAAATGGGATGGCCTTAACAAACAGGAGTTTATTCTCTTACAGTTTGGAGGCTTTAAGTCCAAGTTCAAAATGCCAGGCTTTAGGGGCTGGGTGAAACCCTCTCAACCTTGGGCTTCAATTCTGCCTCTTGCTTCCAGCCTACTGAAGCTAGAGGCAACTCCACTCAGGCAGCTACTGGCTGCTGAAGCTAACAAGCCTAAGGTCACCAAATAAAATGGCACAGTCCCAATGTTACCAAACCACACAGCAGGCCCTTAATTCAAGTCCATTGTAAGTCCCAAGGTCGGTAGAGCATGGAAGGCTGCTGAACGACGACATGGCTACATACAGGGTCCAAGCATGCCATAATCTAGAGACTATCCACAAGGTTTCTCCTTATATACAGCTGCTTATGGTAGATCCCACCATGGAGTTAATTGCCAGTCTCATCATGGGAAATAACTACCACCAACTGCCCAGCCACTCAGCCAGGCCCAGCCAAGTTGACATACAAATTTAACTACCACACTCCTTTTACTACCTGTCACCCTCATCTGTTAATAGAGGTCACTCTAATTAGGGATAATCCCCCTTCTCCTTGCTTCTTCCCCATACTGTTTTTTACATTACACTACCTCTCTTCTCCACCCCTAATCTCTGGCAACCACTGATTTTTTATTGTCTCTATAATTTTGTCGGAGTCCTTGGATGGCGTGAACAGTTAAATGCTCAACTCTTAACTGGAAGGTTGGTGGTTTAAAGCTACTCACCCCAAGGCACCTTGGAAGAAAAGCCTGTCAATATGTTTGAGAAAGGTCACGCCCTGAAAACCCTATGGAGTGCCATCCCACTCTCATACACATAGAGTTGCCATGAGTCAGAACTCAACAACTGGTCTAGTTTGCTTTTTACCTCCCCTAGCCACAGTGTTTGGCCCAGGGATGGGTACATGAACCAAACCACCCTCTTCCATAGCTAGAAGAGAGAAGCCTTTCCTCTTTGATGATGAAACTGTTCCCTGCCATGCAGAGAAAGCAGAGCCTCAATAGGCGAACAAGAGCCAAACTGAGAGAGAAGCAGAGCTGCAAAGAGAAGCCTGATTGGGTTCAAACACTGGTTGCAGCCATTCCCTTTCTGCTCACCTAAAGTAGTTTAAGCTACTCGCACAGGCTGTTGACATACCTACAGTGTTATTCCTATCACCTGCCATTAATTCTTTTCCTGGAAAAACCTAATTTTAGTAACTACTGTTTTGGATTAATTGGCCCTCTTAGGTTCCTACAGTTCTTTGTACCTATCATTCTCAAAGCTGTCATAAAACAAACCAAACCCACTGTCATCAAGTCGATTCTGACTCAGAGTGACCCCCATTGAATTTCCAAGGGGGTAGATTGCCTCATCTTCATTCCAAGGAGCAGCTGGTAGATTTGAATGAGTTAGCAGTCACATGCCTTAGGCACTGTGCCACCAGAGCTCCTTAAAGCTATATATTTTTTATTTCTCTGTCCCCTTTAGGCTGTGAGCTTCTTAATGGCATGACCATTTGCTATTTCTTTTGTGTTCCCAGAACCTGGCACATAGTAGATGCTTCATAAAGATTTGTTAAATTATTTCTGTAATGATATATTTTAATCCTTCCCAGAATGTACAATAAAAATAATTTACTATATTGTTAATGGACAAGATTATATTGAAATGCAAATATATAAGATATATGAGGTACTTAATGTTACTACATGAATAATTGTTCTAGTCTATAAGAGGAAAATAAGAGTGTAAAAATGTTTTCTTTTTTAAATAAAAATTTGAAAATAACAACCCAAGAAGTGTCATTGTTTTTACTTATTGGGTTACCCCAATCAGTTTTAAGGATTGCCTTAACAAGTTACATGAATAAATTTGAACTTGATTTTTTTAGTACTATTGCATTAAAATAATTCCTTGGATATTAAGTTATAAGTTATGATGACAGTCTACACTGAAAGAGAAGTTTTGGAGCTTAATTTTATGTTGTGGCTTTGAAATGAGCTGTACATTTATCAGACCAAGCCATTAACATCTGAGAACATGAGTGGGTGAAATAGAATGGAAGGAAGGCGTACTCTTGCTTGTAGATAAAATAATATGTTAAGTATGTACAGTCTGTGAAAGAGGCAAAATTACTGGGGAAGAGTATTAAGGAATTTCAATATTTTCTAATAAAAATTTTAATCAAGTATAAAATTTAGTGCTTAAATAAATTTAGAAAGTTTTCTTTATTGATTCTAGTTTATAACCCAGTTTACACTAGGACATAATCATGAATAAAATCTATATGAGGTACAAACTTTAGAGTACTTATGTATATTCAAGATTAATTTGAAAAACAAAACATACTTCTAATCACTTTGATTTCATTTTTCCGGCTTTTAAATAAGATCTCTCCAAGACTTCAAATGCCCTAATAATAATAAAAGATAAGATGAGTAATAATCTCAGGGAATGTATTGGGGAAATGAATACATAATATGGAAGATTATAACATTTGTATTTGAAATACAGTTGGATGGCCAAAACCATCAAATACATGAAGTTAGATCAACAATAGACAAAGTTGATTAACTACAATAACTAACATTTATTGAGTGATTACTTTGTACCACACATTGTGTTTATAAGAGGAAGATAAGAGTGTAAAAATGTTACACTCTTACAAGGTAGGTACTATTGTTGTTGTTATGTACCGACGACCCGGACCAACTCATAGCGACCCCCCTCGGATTTGCGAAGTGGTATCACTACTGAAGTAGATTGCCCAACCTTCCTTCCGAGGAGGGGCTGGTGAGTTTGAACTACCAGCCTTCTGGTTAGCAGTCAAATGCCTTAGGCACTATGCTACCAGAGCTCCTACTACATCTCTACTTTACAAATAAAAAGAAATTTAAAGTTAGGAAATGATCTTGTCACTCTAGTTCATCACTACTCCCCAGCACCAAGATGAGTTTCTGTCTGAATGCAAGGAAAAGAGAAGAAAAAGAGAAACGGGAGAGAAGACCTCTGAGTAAGATTGCCACATAACAGCAAATAAAACTGCCGGATGCTCAGTTAAATTTCAGATCAACAACAAATACTTTTTTTTTTTTTAGTATAAGTATGTCCCAAATATTGCATGTGACATACTTAAACTAAAAAATTCTTCAATATTTAGCTGAAATTCAAATTTAACCAAGCATCTTGTCTTTTGTCTGGCAACCCTAACCCGGGAAGACTGAGTAATGTGCTAAAACTGAATTAACAGGAAGCGACTATAATTCTTTCAAGGGGCAAGTTTGCCCTACAGTGCATCCCATCCACCTCCCAACTCCACATTCTACAGAACAGAACATGAGAGCTAAGCAGTGACATTGTATGTTACCATATTTTTTACACATAACATTGCCCACATAAATGACATTCACACATATACACTAACGCACAAGGGGATTGTGTGGTTTGCAAAACTATATAATGCACATGATATTTGTATAAAAATACAATTAAGTTGGTCTCAGTGGATGTCTTTTCTACCTACACATCATTCAGCACACCTACTTCCACTCTCCTGCGTTACCTCATACAATTAAAGACTTCCTTCCTCCAACCTCCAGGTGGGACTGAAGTCTGTGCTACCACAAAAGTCTCGAACATGCCTGTGTGGTTGCAACACTGGAGGAAGGCATGGCAAGAGCCTCTTAGAGACACCTCATACACATTTCTTTGTTCTTTCCTAATTCTCTCTGTCCACCAACCGGTAAAAAAAAATCTCAACTTATTTTTGAATAGGAATGTTGTGCTTCAGTCATATTCTGCATCCTTCCTATTTTGTGGTAGTCCGTTTCATAAACACTATTCTACATTTTGGAGGCTCTGGTAGCGTGGTGCCTAAGGCACTTGACTGCTAACCAGAAGGCTGACGGTTCAAACCCACAAGCCACTCCTCAGAAAGAAGGTTGGGCAATCTACTTCCGAAGTGATACTGCCTCAGAAACCCAAGGAGGGGTAGCTGTGAGTTGGGTCCCACTCGAGGGCAAATAACAACAACATTCTACATTGTAAATGAGTCTTTTAGAATTCAGAAGACCCTTTTCTTTCTCAAGTTCCTAGATCCTTACATTGAAATCCTGACTATGAGGATTTTTGCTTTTTCTATGCTTCTTTTTAAAGGCCTATTTTGAAATTCAAAGCTGAGCTCTGATTTTTCTTTTTTCTTTTTTGGTAAGGGGCCGTATCCACCCACCTCACAAAGCTCCAGCTGCCTTGCCTTCACAGGTGGAGAGATGGAGAGCTGCAAAGAAACAAGAATTATTGGAAATGAAAAATACAGTGGAACACATTACAGCAATATCAACCCTTTCTATTGCTATTCTGCACAACAAGATAATTCTAGGAAAGAAAGAAAGAAAACAAGAACTATAAAAAGCAGCAGAGGTCGAATGGGACTAAAGAAGGTAATAGCACAAAGCAAGGGATGCAGTCAGATAGCTGATAAAAGCAAAGCATCCTCATATTCAGCACTACTATAAATGAAATCCACTTTTTCAGTAAACTCATTTTGCATTTTCCAGCACTTGGTAGTCTCTGCCTAGTTGGGGCAGCATGTTGTTGTTGTTGTTATGTGCTGTTAAGTCGGACCTGACTCATAGCGACCCTTCCTTGGGTTTCTGAGGCAGTATCACTACGGAAGTAGAATGCCCCATCTTCCTTCCGAGGAGTGGCTGGTGGGTTTGAACCACCAGCCTTCTGGTTAGCAGTCAAGTGCCTTAGGCACTATGAAAACTGGAGCTTTATAAACTATACCAATTATGCTACATTACCACAAAAATTAACTTGATGAGGAATAATTTTAATAACCATTTTCTGAACCTTATTTTTCAGCTGTGGGTCTTTTGAGTCCTGAAGAGAAGAAACTAAGAAACTGGCTGCTAGTTTCCCATTTCTCATAGTTTTAACATGACCAAATTATCATGTCTCTAATCATTGCACAGTAAAAACTGGTAGAAAACACATAAAATCATTAATAATAATAAAGCTTTCAGAAAATCACATTTGAAGATCTCTCAACTTAATGCCATGCTTGTGATTTTTTTTTCATTTTTTTATTTTTGTTGTTGCTTATTTGTTTGTTTGCCTACTTAGCAAGTGGGGCATATTTTTCTGCTTTTTCTTTATTCTCGGAGGTTAGTAATAAAGAACACTGTGTTTACACCATTGCTTTTTCATGTGCAGCCCAAACCTATTGTTTTGTCAGCTTAGATGATTTTTTTCTCTCTTAGAGGTTTTATTTTTAATTTGGTTTTCCCTACATGTTTTGTTTTGTTTTTTTTTTTTTTTTTGAAAATTTTCAAACTGATTAGAAAAGCTGAAGAATAATAAAATTATATAATCACCTAGATTCTTTAATTGCTAACTTTAGCCACGCTTGCTTTATCCCTATTTATTGACCAAGTGTCTCAATCTCAGCTCTATTAACATTTTGGGACAGATAATTCTTTGTTATGGGGCTGTCTATGCATTATAGGGTGTTTAGCTAAGTCCTTGCCCTCCACCCACTAGATGCCAGCAGCACCATTCCATCCCTCCCACACTGTGACAGCCAAATATCTCCTGACATTGTAAATGTCACCTGGAGGGCAAATCTTCCTGGTTGAAAACCATTGTTCTATACTATATAATTGAAACAAAAACTTAACTCTTCTGTTGAACTGAAGTATTTGGAAGTAAGTTTGTAGACCTCATGACGTTTTACTCCAAAAAACCATAGCATGTAATTCTTAAGGACATGCACAAGTTCCTACACAACCACAATACCATAATCATTTCCAAGAAATTTAATTTTGATACAATTATGACATCATCTAATACCTAGTTCATATTCAGATGTCCCCCCAATGGGTCATACAAAAGTATGGTTTCAGCTTTTGAATTTTTACCAGTCTAATAGAAATCATCTCAATATTTTATTATGAAATTTTTCAAGTATTTGGTAAAGTCGAAAGAACTTTCTCTCTCAGTGTAGATTTAATTCTCATTCCTCTTGTCATAAATGAAGTTCAATATTATTTCTTATGTTCAAGAACACAATTTGTGTGTGTGTATCTGTGTCTGTGTGAATCTTTATTTCTCTCAATTTTTAAGAGGTCTTTGTAAATTAGAATACTTTTGTAAAAATAAAGAGATTATCTTTTTATTTTTCTTCCAGTTTGTCACTTGTCTCTTGAGTTCACTTACAGTGGTGGTGGTGTGTTTTGCTCCCCTATGCACAGGTTATTTTCCATTATTTACAGTGGTCAAATTTATCTTTTTTTTCTGCTTTTGCATCTGAATGATGAGCATAGTTAAAAAGGTTTTCCCCACAGTGAGATTGCAAACAAATTCACCTATATTTTCTTGTAGTATTTCTATCATGCATTTTTTTCCAGTTGAATTTTTTTTCTAGAGTGTGATATATGTTAAGGAGCTGTGGTGGTGTACTGGTTAAGGAATTTGATTGTTAACTAAAAGGTCAGTAGTTCAAACCCACCAGCTACTCCACAGAAGAAAGATGGGGCAATCTGCTTCCGTAAAGATTTACAGCCTTGGAAACCCAACGGGGGTTGCTATGAGTTGGAATCAACTCAGTGGCAGTGAGATTTTTTGTGTATGATATATGTTATGGATCCAAAGTTATATTCCTGAAAGGCTGTGCAGTTTTCCTAACACCAATTATCAAGTCATTTTTCCAGTGATTTGAGATGTCAACTTACTCATATAGTAAATTTCCATTTATACTTTGATCTATTTCTGAGCTTTCAATTCTGTTCCAGGTCTGTCTGTCTATTCATGTAATACTGTTTTAATTATAGAGAGTTTATTGTATATTGGTATTTAATAGAGTTATCTCTCCTCATTGATCCTTTTCCTTTTTTTCTGATTTTCATATATAGCTTATAGTTTGTCTTCCCATGAGCTTTGGAATCAATTTGTCTTGTTCCAGGAAAAATATGTGTTGATATTGTATGGATAGTGTTAAATTGGAAATGATTTACATCTTTATGATGTTGAGTCATCTTATCAAAGCTCAAGAAATATTTCCATTTGTCTGTTAATATTTTTTAAAGTTTCCTCATGTAGGTTTTGCACATTTGTTGCTAAATTTATTTCCAAATATTTTATCTTTTTAGGTGTTATTGCAATAGGGTTTTCTTTTTCCTTTATCTTCTAACTGGTTTTCACTTATACACACAATATTGATTTTTGAACATTAATTTAGTTGTTATTTTATTGTTCATATTACCATTAATTCTATTAGGTTTTCCAGACATATTATCACCTGAAAATGGAAAGACTTTTATTTCTTTCCCAATTCTTATGCCTCTTTTTTTTTCCCCTTGACGGAGGATATTGGCTAATGTACCCAATATGATGTCAAATAGTAGGGAAAGGAATGGAAGACTTTGGCTTGTTCTTTACATTAATGGAAATGCTTCCAATTTTTCTCCATTATAATATTTTCTGTCTCCCTCATTCTCTCTCACACATGCATGTATGCACACATACATAAATGTATGTATTTATATATACGCATAATCACGTCAAGGAAATGGTTATTAATTCCTATTTTATCTCATGATTTTATTAAGATATATATTACATTTTATAAAGATGCTTTTCTATGGTTTAAGATATACATTTCTCATCTGAGAATTTTTCAAATGTTTACAAATATTATGTTATTACTTTACACTCCATAACTGCAGCTTCTTAGGTTAACATGTGGATCTTCATTGCATGTATATTTTCACAGATGAAAAAAATATATTGAATATTATACTTTACAACATTGGCTTTCTTCCCAGAAACTATCATTTAGTAACAATATCTTGCATCGGTTAAGTACCTGGACCTTAGGAGCTGGCATCTGCTTTTTCTGTCACACCATCCTTGAAGTCTGGTAAATGCTTGTCAGCTGCCAGCAGAGGGAGCAATATTTCTATTGAAACAAGCAAAGAACTGTAGTAGACAAGAATAGAGAGTTCCTCATTCCAGTCATGTTTCCTAATTGGAAAATCTCAGAAGTCAGAATCTGTCCAGATAATTTTAGCTGCAAATGACAGAATTAGAACTCATCCTAACAATCAAGGGGAGGGGCTGCACTGAGATTGGATTGGGGTTTTTCCCTACCCTGAAGAGAACATAGGCTTTAACTCAAAAATGACTAATAACCTCTGATGTCAGAGGATATAATACTCCAATGAAAAGGTTTCTCATCTCAATTTGCCCACAGCCCTGGCTTGCCTTCTCAATAGATTTCTACTTAATCCCCAAAGGCACAGTTAAAAACACTTGAATTCAGCTTTGCTTGGTTTTTTTTTTTTTTTTTTTTTATCCAAAAGAGAATGTCCACGTCATTATCCTGTGTGAATGTTTTTCCATAGGTGGATGAGCTCATATTTCATCAGTTTGTTCTCCAAATCTGCAATCCAGAATGTCTCCAGTGATATTATAGTTTCTTGAAGTCAGGCTGTAAGTGTGAAGTAATAGATAAAATGTCTGAGGTTGTTGGTTCCAAGAGCTGAGAATTGGATATTTATAGTTTAGCAGTTGTTAAGGATAAAGAACTCTCACCCCTTTAAAAATTGTGAATAACTTCTAATCTTTTATATGACAAGACTAGAAAAGTAACTCACCCAAGGGTGAAAACATTTCTAAAATTACTTATTTACTCTTACTTTGAAATTCATGTACACAGAAAGAGTGAGCCAGGAGCCTTAGGCAGTTAAGCAAGATAATAAAAATCTATATGCAAGATTCTTCACTTTTTTGGGAGAACCTAAGATGGTGACCTAGTCAGATACACCACACCATCCCTCTATACCAAACACCCAAGAAACCAAGTAAAACAGATATAGGTGATAACTCTGGAACTCTGATCATCAAAAAAAGAATAAAGAACTAGATCAAACATGAATTGGAAGGAGAAACTGGATGAAAACAACAAACAAGGAGAGATACAGGTACCCTGGCACAGTATGGCCATCTTGAGTCAAAGAAAATAGCAATCCTGGGTTATAAGTACAGAAAGGCAAACTAACAGAATCCCCAATAAGACAGAGACATAGTTCAGATGATTCTAGAGTGATGTAAAGTGAGCAATACATGAACTACATTTAAGGAAGGAAAGTGCAAGAAGGCAGGCAAGAGCTCCATGTTCAGGCAACTACAGAGCAGGGAGTGAGTCATTAAGTAGGATAGAATTGCTCACCAGCAGTGGGCCCTGGTTGTTTGGGCTGAAGACTCACAGAGTTGAGGATTCTTGGAATGGCAGCTGGAGAGACTAGACACTAGACAGCCCCTTCCTAGCACTGAGTGGAAACAGGGAACTGATAGCTGGCTGCACTCACCCTCGAATGCACTGACACCCACAATGGTGACTAGTGACTTGAGGAGTATACTCTCCCTCCTCCACCCA